TTTACTACACACACACACACACACACACACACACACACACACACACACACACACACACACACACACACACAAAATATCTAAAGCTAGGCAATTCGGTGTCAACTTAGCAAAAAAAAAAAAATTGAAAGTCGAGAAAATTTATCAGAATTTCTGAGATTACTCTTCTGAGTTCCAACAACAGGCTTAATTTCCCCTCTTGTCTCTATCCTGATTACAATCTCTGATCACCATTCCCTATTTAAATTTCACAGTTAGACCACAAATCTCTATTATCTCACAGAAAAATCTATGTAATGGCTTATAAACTCTGAATCAAACCCCTAAATTGGATGCTAGAGACCGAACCCTTCCCCTCTCTCATCATATGGACCAAAGATCATAACATCAGAGCCATTATCCTTCATATATGATCCACATAAGACACTGTGCTCATCTGAGTCAACTATTGGCGAAATACACCAACTCTACCTAATCCACCTTCCCCAGATCGGTCAGAATACATGCTCCAGATAGAGATCGACTTGTGCAATCTCCATTCTGAACATACGGGCTGTTACCTGCTCCCCACAACTTTGTCTACACATGTGTGAGATCCCCCTGTACCTGATATGGCTATTATATAATCAGACAACAAAAGGACATACCACTATAATTCAGATAACCAACAGGGAGTGCTTAACCTTTTTCATGCAGCCCTTAGGAATTATGCTCCACCAGCTTCTTAGTGATAGTTGCCTCCAACTTTCCTCTTGTGGGAAAGCAGCATAGCACAGTGTTGAGAATGTCAGCATTATCTTACGTTGCACTATCTCCAGAGGTTTGGGGTTATGATAATAGATGCGCTAACCACTTAGGACCCACTGTAGTATAGCATCAATAGACTGCCAACTCTTCAATATTCACCACTTCCCCTCTGCGTCACTACTGAACAATTCCCCAGCATTGTGTTAAGAAACACTTCATGGCGAAGGTGTTGTCTTTTAGATGAGACATAAAAACACAAAAATGTAGTCATTAAAAACTCATGGCACTTTTCCCAAAAGTGAAGGAATGAACACGATGTCCAGGCCAAATTCCAACTAGGGTATTACATTCTGCTTACTTAACTTCCCCTTTAAGTTTTCTCTGTGTGTCCTAAATTGTTAAAGTGCTGCAATGTTTTATTCTGGAAGTAGTTGCAGTTCATGTCAGATAAGTGATCTCACTGTATAGTATATAATCTGTATCTCAATTTGTAAAACAGTCTGTGATTGCACATTTCAAACTATGTTACCTTGCATTGGAAATCCCAATTTGCAAATTGTTACGCTACCGTCCCTTAAGCCTTGGCTACTCAACACAAGCAATGGAAAATCCTACTGCATTACATTTCAATCTTGGATCAAAATAGAGCAAATAGAGCTGTAGTATGCAAAGCAGCTAGCCCTTTACCTTTCACAAATAAAAAAAGAGAGAGAAAAGAAGCAGCTTATTACCATACCTATCGTTAGTCACTGAGCAGTGAGTCTCAGGCATGTCTCAGGATTTGAGCACGGGTTACAGGATTGGTCCATACTTCCTGCATGCCACAGCATTGGCCCAGTTTTCCCATACCATTTTTACATGGGTGTAACACCACTGATCTCAATGGATTTCCTCTTTAACTGCACCAGTATAAGAGGATAAGTAAACTCTATAAACAAACCCATGAGCATTCCTGGATTAAAATATTATTCATTGTAGCCTTTTATTCTACTGCTTTATTAATATAACAACAAGGAGGTTTAGTTTATTACTAGCTACAGAAAGCACTGTGTGCACATGAACATCTTGCTCATCTCTTTGCAAAAACAGGATAATCTCCTTATGGAGACGCAAACCTTAAGAGAACATACTTGCTACGGCTTGTAATGTTTAGCTTATTACTAATGTAGAAAGAAAATCACAAGGAGGCCAGCTGCCATGTTGTTAGGATGGTAGTTTGAGAAAAAAATGTAATCCAGTTCCAGTTCCATAACAAAAGGCCAGGGAAGTGTCAAGGACACCAAGAGGAACATGTCTGAGGGATATTTATGACAACTGCAATGTGGGGACACATAATCCCCACCCCCATCCTCAGCCCTTTGTTCCTGATTAATCAGAGAGGAGCAGAGGGCAGTTTGCAGTTATAACTGATTACTCAGTGCACGCGTATGCGGATGTACAGGTACTGCAATCACTCCCATCCAGGTACAGCTTTCTTAGGGCATGGCTACATTTGCAGATGTAGAGCGCTTTGAGTTAAACCAGTCTTCGTAGAGCGCAGTAGGGAAAGCACTGCAATCTGTCCACACTGACAGCTTCAAGTGCACTGGCGTGGCCACATTTGCGGCATTTGCAGTGGCATTGGGAGTAGTGCATTATGGGCAGCTATCCCAGCATGCAAGTGACTGCAACGTGCTTTTAAAATTGGAGGGGTGTGACAGGGAGTGTGTTGTGTGTATGTGGGGGGAGAGAGAGTGGATTTTGGGGGGGCCGAGAGCATGTCAGCATGCTGTCTTGTAAGTTCAGACAGCAGCAGACTTCCCCCTCCCCCTGCCTCTTTCTCTCACACACGGCATTCCACAGTAAGGGCTTGCATGCTGGCTGTCAGAAACGGAGCTTTGAAAGGTCATTTCCGCATTCCTACAGGAGTTCAAAACAATGACAAGAGTGGCCACTTGATTTAAGGGGATTATGGGACATTTCCGGAGGCTGATCAGAGCGCAGTAACGCAACACCTCATTCACACTAACACCCGGGCGTTGTAGCCAAGGCGCAGCAAACGTTATTCCTCTCGCCGAGGTGGAGTTCCAGCAGCGCTGTAGCCGCGGAGTCAGAGCGCTCTACGTGCCTTGCCAGTGTGGATGGGTAGTGAGCTAGTGTACGCGGGGTTCCTTTATTACTCTGTAACTTTCAAGTGTAGCCAAGCCCTTAGAAACGAAAGGCTCAGTCCTGTGAGTACTGAATGCCTTCTACTCTCGTTGAGTTCACTGGGGTGAACGCACTGAGCATCTCACTTTTAAGACATCAGTTCTGGCCTCAGATGCCTGCAGCTACTACTGAAGTTTTGGGGACCAATTATCCTGACACCAGTTTCACACAGGTGTAATTATATTGACTTCAGTGCAGTGACTTCTGATTTCCACTGGTGAGAGAGGAAAATCCAGCCAGGTTAGAACTGTGTACATGCGTCCAAGGACAAAATTTGGCCTTAAAACTTTCAGTCCAGACCATACTTTGGAAGAGCTCAATTTACTCTCTAGCCCCTTGTTCCCATCCCCATTGCTGGGCTGGTTACACAATTCTGAAATGTATAG